TGCAGACTCCAACAAACTAACGTAAACAACATGGATGCGAGTTACAGAAATCGCACAGAAAAACTTTTCAATTGGCTTGTTTGCTAACTAATTTATACAGAAACGTTTGTCAAAATGTAAGATATGTTTCAGAGAGATTTCAATCACAAAATTTTAGTAAGTAGAAGTATAATTTTAACCTTTACCGATCTAGATTGGTACTGCATCCGACTTGAAGGTCATTTCAACTGTTCTGATACGTACTGCATAGTAGATCAGGGAACGTTTTTAATTTTCAATGTTTACAATAAAATTGACAATATTTGTTTGTTGTTTATATAGTTAGCATTAAAACCTCAACCGCCGAGAGATTCCCCCCCCCCCCCCCAATATATTCCATGTATCTTCATCGTCACCGACTAGATCTAATCAAGAAAGTGACATGCAGTGTATATGTGTTCATCGATTTTGAAAGGTTGCTTATGCTAGCGCTGATCCGGAAGGGATTCAGGACTCTCCTACCCCTTGAAATTTTCAGAACTGTCATATATTTGGACCACATCCCCCTGTTGATATTATTTTTTGTCAAAGAAATATGTAGCAACTCATTCATCACCACCTCTCTCTCCCAGATCCCCCAATCGTTATGATTTGGACAAACTGATTATAGTTTATTATTATATTTTTTATTTCTTTCATTTTTTTGTCCTCTCTGCACAGCACACTTAAGAGTTCTGATTCTGTGGTATTTTTATGCAATTAGAACATTCTGTCCCTAGATCTAAAAATAAAAGAATTTGAAAACTACAATTTGTAATAAATTTCTTAATATTTTAATAGGCCAAGATAAATTAATTGAATACTTCATGATTTTTCAACTGGATGTATTTTTCTCAAATGTTATAAAGTGAACAATAGAATTTTTTGTTTGTCAATATTATCATTTATTAACCATTTTTCCTGGGGGTAAATGCAAGGCACCCTTGTTGAAAATGCATTGGGCATGCTCAAAATTAACACCTTCATACAATTTTTCTCAATGTCTAAAAAATATTCTGCTTATGTTTATAAAGGGTCCTTAAAACTATAAATGGGATACAAACTTGAGTTAAAAATTCAGATATTATTTCACATAAATTTGAAGGGAAAAAATCTTCCTGTGTTTGTACGTTAGTACAAAATAAATTTTCAAGATTTTAGTCATGTTTAAAATAAACATAAAGATATTCATTCTAAATCCAATGCAGACCCCAGTCTGTTCTCAGTTTATGGTTCTTAAGGCATGGACTTTGATATATATTTCAGAAATCCTTAATGGTTCTAGGGTATCATAAGTAGAAATTACAATGTAAAAGACTGTTTAATGATCAAAACAGTCAGTGTACTTCACTAGTGACACACAAACTTAAGGGGTTAAGGAAAATGTTCACATATTGTTGTACAAATAAATTGCATTCAACAGTTCAGATTGCTAGGTTTGAAGAACAAACATAAGTCTTCCTCAGCATTGCATATTCCAAGAGGAATCAAAAATCAATTCTGTATTGATATCATAGATGTCAATCCAAAGATACCCATAAAAAGATACAAGATGTTCAAAAGAAAATAAAGACAAGGTACTGGTATACAGAAAGTTTACTGATATTGTACATTTCATATATAAGTAATAGTAAAATCGTTTATGTCAAATTCAAAAAGTATTACTTTTCTTCCATCAAATTTCCCTAGGCATTGATATGCATTTATAGGGTTAGATGTTTGAATATTAAATTGTATCAGTTGTTTCTCATTGTATGATCACATCACTGTATAAATCATTTACTTATATCAGTAATGACATATATTTTTGGGAATTTCATCTACATGTACATGTATGACAGTGCTACACATTTCATGTTATTCGTGTTATTCATCACCTTTATGAACTATACACTTGTTTATGCTATTCAGCACATTGTGAATACTATAAGATTACATAAACAAACATGTATTATGCTAATGGAGTTCATTAGATAAGTGAAAAGTCTGCTTCTCCTGAAATTAGTGAAGTCAATGAAAGTCAATCACTCATCTTTAAACCTAACATATTGCATAAGGTCAACACATGCACATAGTCAATCACTGACACACCAAACATTGATGCTACACCTTTATTCCAAAATTGTGCCTTAGCCTCATCAGTGTTGATATACAATTATGGACTATTTACACAAAAAATACCTAAAGTGACCGAGACAATTCTTTTGTCATTAGTATTGCCCCTTTTTTTCTACATACATTTGAATTGTTTTGATGTCAAAAAATCTAATAAATTTTCAATAATGTTTCATGTTGGTGTAAATAATACACACATCACTGACATATATATAATTTTTTACTGTTTTCTTCATGCCAAGTGGGCCTTGTTTTTCTCCTGCTGCTATGTGGAGTTGTAGACGATTACTTAGTCTGTTCTGTAGGTCCTCTCTGTTTTTGTTGTAGTTCTACAACATGGTAAAATTAATCCAAAGATTCCTTAAAATGAAAAATAATATTCTAAAGATCTATGAGTATAACACAAATAAATTTAAGTAAAATATAACAATGTCTAAAATGTGCTTTCTGATTAAATTAGAAAGAGATTTTAGAAGTATTGATATACTTCAAATATTACTTCAAGTGTTGATTTACTTGGTATTTAACTGCATAAAAAACATTGATGTCAAGAATAAGTGGCATAAGAGAATTTGAAGCATTGTGGAAACAGTTACTTTTCTTTTGCAGTTCCCTTTCTCCATAATCATGTGTACATTACATAACTAACTGGAAAAACTAGGGTGATGTTCCTTTTGTATATATATACATACATGTAGCCTGTTGACAATTCATTTTCACATTCTGTTATGACACACGGGTGAAGATTCTGTTTCCTTGTGTGCTCCATCATTGATCCTGAATGCATGTAATATTTTATTAAAATATAAATACATGTAATGCATTTGACTTGGAATTTTTTAAATACTTTTAAAATCTTGATCTATCCTCAGCATTTTCACCAAGACTAAATATCAATTGATAATAGTACAAAAATTACTATTCATCTGTGATTTTACTATGTCAAGTTTTCATGGTATAATGATATCTTTGCTTGAATAAAAACATACTGGCTTTGTAATTAAGTTTCTTCATAACAGATACTTTTCTTAATATCAGTAAGCTTACAACTCGTCTCGATAATTCCAAAGAAGCCTTTCTTGATGACTGTGACCCATCTGGGGGAACTGGACCTTGCTGTATACAGTCAGTATTTCATGGCCCATAAAAGCTACAATTAATTTAGATTCCTAAAGCTATATACAATCACAAAATGTTTCAAAGATGAAGCATTGTAAAATTACCCACAAAAATGTTTTGCAGCATTCTCATTTAATATCGAGAATTATATTCAGTTCACCGAGATTTATAGCTTTGAACGGTTGAGTCATTGTCTGAGCACATTTGTAAATCACTATTGTACATCATAGAACATAATCTAAACATTGCTCTCTTTAATTGACAATTATATGCTCTCTTTAATTGACAATTATATTATCACTAACTTTTACATTAATTAATATACCCGAATATCTTATTTTTTAACAGACAGTTGTGTTTCGGTTTTCCACATGACATGCCTTTATCAGCTGTTTATGCAACGTAAACACTTGTCTTTTGGACTTAGGAAATGAATAAATCTCACCTTGTGTATTCCTTCCGGGTACCTCGTATCATTATTACATCTATCCCATGCATAGGACCTCACAATTTTTCGTTACACAGCGGATATGTTGCATTAAACGATGTCATCTCACACCTCTGACATCTGTGTGTTTTGTCGGAGGTAATGGCGGACAAAGTTTCCGCGATTCTGATTGGCTGTGCGGAGATGGCAACTGCGTCACCCGTGACGACGTGGAAGCGTGAATTGCCATAAGGCCCTTTTGTTATGGGCACAATCATATATTGTTTTTCAATATATTATTTTTTTAATACCTACAGCAAGTGTATTTAACTTGAGATTTTCAAGGAAGTATTTCAATCATGCATTCACACTCATTTACATGTAAATCAGGTCAATCAGGGCATTCAGAAATCATACCCTTTGTAAACTTCAAAAGTGATTTTGAACAATACATAATAGATATTTTCTCTAACACTTAATTAAACTCCTTCACATATCATCTTTAAAAAATATTTAGTCAAATTGTAATACAGAAATTATGCTGAGTTGGGTTAACTAGAAGTTTTTATACTAGCTATCAGGTCATTATACCCCAATCAGGACATTATACCCCTGTCAATTTTCTCTGTCAAATAAAACATAATAAAATATTTTTATTTTGCATTTTCTTCAGAATTCTTATAGAAAATGATAATATTAATCATTTCCAATAAAAATAACATTGTTTGTGCACATAAAAACTCTTTATTTCAGCATATATGTGTAATCATTCAGGTCAATCAGGGCATTATACTATCAGGGCATTAGTAACCTTCCCGCGAAACGCTTGATTTTCATTCCCTTCCTGAATAGTGTAAATACTGCCTGTTTTAAGATAGGGAGGATAATTAAACCATCCTGACACAGACAAAAACTGCCAAATTTTCTCGAAATGGCTATTAATAGCCATGTTTATTTAGCAAAGTGCAAAAGGAAAATGAAAGAAAATGAAATTAATAGAAAATTCAATGTTTTGCAGTTGAGTATGAAAATTATTTCACAAGTGGACAGTATTTTTTTTTTTATTTTTCCACAAGTGTGTGGCATGAGTGAAAATATAAAAGAAATCCTGTCCCACTTGTGAAATAATTTCCATATCCATCTACAAAACCTTGAATATCCTCTATATATGTTCCCACCAAATCGATCTTTCTGCCATGTGTTACAGTTTCTCTTCTTTAATGAGGCATATAGTGCAAGTGAAATATTATGACACCAAGATATTGAAAAGAAAGTTACTGTTAAAAAAGTTTGAATGTCTAACTTTCTCTTTCATTTACAGGGCAATCAGACCAAGGTTGATAATATATGTATGTCAAGAAAGTGACTCAGGTATGTAAACAAGTAAAACAATTAGATATGTCAAAGAACAGTTGACTATTAAACTATTCCTCAAACAAACCAACATTCAAATGGCTAAAAATGTATATAACTAGATACTCATCGGCTTGGCCAAGATCAGGTGCCCATGTTGGTTGCAGATTTACAAAAAAATGAAGTCAAATGAAATGTATTACAAGTATGTTCTATGTAACACTACATCCTTTTGGCAGATTGTCTGAGATTTCTGTCCATTTCTGTCAAGTGGTTAAAAAGATTTCACTCTTACTATAGCAGAAACCCAAGTGGGCTACGGACTATACATATTCAGGCATAACATTTATCTTTATCATATTCAACTTAACAAAAAAGTATAATTCAAATACAAACTCTTCACAAAATATTGTCTGAGCAAAAAAAAATCACATAACTCATTTCCATTTAAATGTTACCGTATATAAAGGACATGGGTAAATTTGTTAATCTTTGAGAGTTTTTCTACTCTTCATATTCGGACATTTGAAATAAAAATACATTAAAGTACTTTCAATTTTTCTAAAGATACCGAATATGGGGATGAAAATTTCAAACCTATTTGGAAATACTCAGCGAAAAACTGTGTCAGAGTTTTTTTGATTGACTATTTTGAGACCTTGGCTACGGACTATACATATAGTATTTTCATTTAATGAGAGACTATAAAAAATAGTTGCTTTTTTCAGTAAAATATTTGTTAAAATTATCATCTTGGAGTTCACACGTGTTTAATAAATCCTTTCAGTTGGATATTAAATCAATTTATACAAAATCCTGTGAAATTTAACAAAATAAAACAAAAACTTTACATAAATTCACAATAAGAGTAAAATATAAATAGTCAGAACAAAATAATACTTGTCAGAATTGCATGTAATTGGTGTTTTGATAATAAAATATTGTTTAAAACCATCTAAAGACCAAGAATGAGCTTTAATTTAGCATCTAAGAAGGATGAATTTCATGTGAGTACGGGGGCTACGGACTATACCATTAAACATCTCTATTGTGGACAATCAACTTAAAGAAAATATAATTGTTTAATTAAATTTTGGGCAATTTTTTTTAATAATTGGTTTTCTATAGCGGTTCACAAAACTTAGTTTGAGTATTTATAATACCATACTTAAAAATCAATTGTCTAATGTATTATGTACTTTCAATGCCAAATGAAATTCCAGTTCAACTAATTAAAGCATAATTGGTGTTCAACTATAGTGAATAAAAGCAACAGGAGCTGAAATTAAATCAAGGCATGTGAAGTGTGTGTGTGTGTGGGGGGGGGGGGGGGGGGGGGTTTATGGACTAAATTGCCTTATATTTTTTTTTCTTCCATTTAATGTAATGTAACTGAAGATGGTCATTCAAAAGGTGTATCAGTATATAATTTATCATAATCATATGGTGTAATTCAATAAAAAAAAATCCAAAAAATAATTGACGATTTGAAGTAAAAAACATAATAGTACAATATTTATCCATAAAGAATCAAAGCTTTTTTTTTTAAATTAACAATTCAGTGACAAGTAGATTGGGTGGCGCAATTATAAGAGTGAAGGCCTCACTTTGTACTAAATTGCAAAGTAAGGAGTTGATCCTTATGTTTTGGGTTCAAATCCCACAATGGGATGTTAAGACTGGTCGATGAGAACTAATAAACCATTTAATCCCCATTTTGCAGTAGATACAAGTAGGAAAAAAATCTCTTGCTAATACAGAAGTACATGTACGGTTATATGGTCTGTAAATTTGCTAAATTTATTTGTAGAGTCCGTAGCCCTTTTGTAAGTAGGATTTGTGTGGTGAAATATTATTTTAAATGGATTGATGGTATGTAGCACAAGAAGGAAAACCTTATCATATATTTAGAAATATGTTGTGACCACAAACGTAACAGGACAGACTACAGAGGCAAGCCTTTAGTTTATGTTGGAAAGAAACCAGAAGAAGTCTGAATAAATGTACAAAGTTTATTAATCTACACTACAACATTCCAGAACACATCTATTAAACATATACAATAAAATGTAACACAAAATACACGTTACTTTGGCATCAGTAGGGGCAGACTCAGCCATTAATTCCAATAGCTAACAACCAGTTCAAGACAGCAGTCCAGTCGCAGGAGCCGGAAGAAAGGTACAGCTCAATTGTACCAGTCAACTCGGTGTAACTAGTGAGTCTTGAGACTAGCCCTACTTCCAGTGGATCTCAACTCGGTGTAGCAGCTGTGGAAGGCTGTGAGAAACCAGTTCCGGGCTACAAGAGCCGGAAGAGAACCATGGAAGGATGTTGATACCTTATTAACTCGGTGTAACTTCCTATGCAGTATTAGCATATTAAGAAATCGTCGTGTTGCGTTGGATATCTACATGGGGAAGTCACAAGAGCCGGAAAATAAGATATTAGTGTCAAAATAAAACAGAATTTTGGGGGAAAATTTAATTAATTGTTACAGCATTTGTAAAATTTATTAAATGGTGGCCAGAAGGCTATGGCTGAATCTACCCTAAGAATTATAAGTACTTGATGTAAACACACTGATAATTAAATAAAGGAGTAGTGGTGGGGTGGTGGCGGTTACGATACAATTTTCTTTACAAACTTAGCGCACTGCTTGTAGCTGAATCCCCACTATAAAAAACAACCAATCAAATTGTAGCAACATAATATTAGAAAAAATAATGGCGGATAGGTCAAATCCGAATAAACCCGTCTTTCCAACATAAACCTGGCTTATAATACCATAAGCCTCCATTTATGTTGGAAAGAAACCAGAAGAAGTCTGAATAAATGTACAAAGTTTATTAATCTACACTACAACATTCCAGAACACATCTATTAAACATATACAATAAAATGTAACACAAAATACACGTTACTTTGGCATCAGTAGGGGCAGACTCAGCCATTAATTCCAATAGCTAACAACCAGTTCAAGACAGCAGTCCAGTCGCAGGAGCCGGAAGAAAGGTACAGCTCAATTGTACCAGTCAACTCGGTGTAACTAGTGAGTCTTGAGACTAGCCCTACTTCCAGTGGATCTCAACTCGGTGTAGCAACTGTGGAAGGCTGTGAGAAACCAGTTCCGGGCTACAAGAGCCGGAAGAGAACCATGGAAGGATGTTGATACCTTATTAACTCGGTGTAACTTCCTATGCAGTATTAGCATATTAAGAAATCGTCGTGTTGCGTTGGATATCTACATGGGGAAGTCACAAGAGCTGGAAAATAAGATATTAGTGTCAAAATAAAACAGAATTTTGGGGGAAAATTTAATTAATTGTTACAGCATTCTTAAAATTTATTAAATGGTGGCCAAAAGTCAGTTGAATAGATATAAATGTAAATACTTATGTACATTATAGATATGAGACTGAGTGCCCCAAAATGATGCCAAATTGTGTATGATAAACCAGTACTATATATAAGGCTAACATTCTAACATCTATAGGTAAAGTTACAAGCTTAATTGTTTTTTACAAGTCTGTAGTGAGATAGGAAGTAGTGTGATCAGCCTATGAATCTACAGTACTAAGGAACGCTGAGCATCTCGTAACACAGATACTGGAGTTCTAATATATCTACAATAGGCATCGGAGGCCCATCTTCCTAATGTTTTAATAATATGGTCCTCCACATGGACAGAAGCTGCAGTCGTAGCCGCACCGATTCGGAAAGAATGTCCATTATACACATCCGCATCACAACCAATACAAGTTAACACATGCTTAAAAGCTGAAATAAATTCAACTCTTGTCAAAGGAGCACCATTTTGATTTACAAACAATGGACTTTGTGGAGAACATGACAATTTGTACCTTGCCTTTAAATATTTACAACATACAGCGAAAGGACAAATAATATTGTCTGTAGAAAACAGTTTAATGATGACTCCTTTCCTGAATGGGTCAGTTTTAGAAATTTTGAGTTGTAAATGTACATAATCCTCAAAGATAGATAAATCACTTATACAAATATGTATAGAAGGATCAAATACTTCTTTACATGTAAATTCTCCACATCTCAAAAAGCCAAAAAATGCAACAGTACATACAGTTTCTAACATCAAATTGTAAAAATTGTCTATCTTTCTTAAATAAAGACAAGCCCTTTTCAAAATGTCGAACGTGACTGGATACCTTAAACTGCGAGATGGTGATTGTACACGTTTAACACCATTCATAATAGCCTTAAGTCTACATAACTGAGTATTGTCAGGATATGCAATGTTATCTTGCAAACACATAAATTTAACTCCACACAAATACAACTTGATAGTTGAGTAGCTTATCTGAAGTTTGCTAACACAGTATGCTACGAATGAAATTTAGTAATCTTCAGATACAGGAACCTCAGAAATACATGCATTTGTAATAATATTTGACAACAAAAGGAATTTTACATATACATGAAAGGCTGTTTGGTATGTGCACCTAGTGCTTGGTGCCACTGCATTGGTCCATAACATGTTCACGGTGTCGTTGAGATCCATAACACTTCCCTCGGATGAGGAACACTGCATGGTTGATCTTGTGCTTGAGGAGCGAGGCTGCGGAATTTGGAAATCTGCAAACGTGATAGAGCATCTGCTATTAAATTTGTTCGACCCGGTACATGTACGGAAGAAAAAATGAAGTTATATTTTGCTGCTATTAGAGTAAGGCGTCTCATCAGGGGCATAATATGATGGGATTTAGATCTACCCTTGTTAAGGATAGCAACTGTTGCTATATTGTCACACATAAATTATCCTTTGTTTTTTCCACATTTCCCCCCATAGAATTGAAGCAACAACTATAGGGTATAGTTCATAGAAGGCTATGGATACGCCATCTTCGTCTTGCATCCAGGTTTTTAATAAAGGTACTAGTTCATCTGACCAAGATGAAGAAAACCATAGTCCTCTGAAGTATCCACCATATCCCAAGGTAGCTGAAGCATCTGTAAACAGATTAAGTTCTTCTGATGTGATC